CTCACGCGCGCCACCGCACGCCGACAGCCGTTCCATGCTCCGCCTCGCCTCGCTCTCGCCGCCCCGCTCCTCCTCATCGCCCCCGTCGATCCGCCGCTGCGCCGCCCTCGTCGCCGCGCGGCACCACCACCACCAGCACACGACCTCGACGTCGACCACGACGCGCGCACAAGGGCGCATGTGGGTCCCTGGGAGCCCGATCGTGTTCGGCGGGCCGGCGCAGGCGCAGGCGGCCGAGCAGGAGCAGGCGCGCGAGGGGTCGCCGTCGGCGGGGCGGGCGTGGCGTAAGGGCGACCCGGTCATGTTCGCTGTAGGCGAGAGCGGCACGGGGCAGCAGGGAGTCCAGGTCGGGGGCTCGAGGTGCGTCTGCTTCTCTCCCACTCCTCGCGCCGTCCTGCACCGCCCCCCTCTTGAGGGAGGACGACGAGCGCGCGCTGACCCGCCCGCCCCCGCAGCTCAGCCGCCCTCGGTCGCACGTCCTCCCTCGAGTCGCAGGCGCGCCCGACTCGCACGCCCTCGCCGCGCACACGCGCTGCGGCAGCGACGTGGTCGCCGCAGCCCCCGACGCGCTCGGCACCGCCTCCTGCCCTTCCTCTTCCTCCTCCCGCCAGCGCCGCGCACGGCAGCACGCCCCGCGCCCTGTCGCAGGCCGAGATGGACGACCTCGTCGCCGGCGTCGACTGGGACGGCATCGACCTCGACCCCGACCTCGACCTCGACATCGACCTTGGCCGCGACCTCGGCCGCGGCGAGCACGACGGCGAGCGCCCGCCACTCGCACCGCACGCGAGCTCCTTCGCGCTCGCGCCCGACGAGCTCGAGCGCCTTGTCGACGGGATCGACTTCTCGCAGGACGCCGACTTGCTCCTGTCGGACGGCGAGGGCGAGTCTGGCCCGCGGCCGTCGAGCGCGCAGCTTCCTTCGCCCTCCCCTCCTCCTTTCCCTCCTTCACCTGCTCCTGCCGCGTCACGCCCATCACCCTCGCCTCGCCTCGGCTTCCGCACCCTCTCCCGCACGCACTCGTCCACGCCGACCTCGCCGCGCCCCGAGCCGCCGCAGCACGCGCGCGACCTCTTCTCGCCGGGCGCGGCCGCCGCCGCCGTCACCGTCACCGCCACCGCCGCGCCCACTTCGCCGCTGGCGCGCTCGATCCGCGCCTACAGCTCGTCGCCGCGCTCGCCGCCCGGCGCTGAGGCCGCGCAACCCGTCGGCGACGGCACGAGCGCGGGCGCAGGCGCGACGGCGCCCAGGGCCAAGGTCATCGAGCTCTCGAGCGACGACAGCGACGCCTTTGCGTCGTCGCCTGACCTCGTCGTCGTGCGCAAGCCGCAGTCGGCCGCGCCCGTCGGGAGCGTCGCGCACCGCGCACCGCGCGCATTGGCGGCGGCGGCGCCGCTCGCCAACCCGAGGGGAGGGTGGTTCCAGCGCCCGGCGGGGCGAGCCGCTCCTGCGCCGGCCTCGCCGTCGTCCGCCTACTCGACCACCGCCTCGAGCTCGACCCTGCGCGTCCCGGCCGCGCCCCCTTCCACCTCCACGACCTCCTCGACGTCGCGCCCTCGCCCCGTCCTCGCCCCAGGCGTCCCCTCACGCGCCCCTCCCTCGACCCGCCCCGCCACCGCTCGCGCCGGCGCGGCGCGCCCGGCGCGCCTGGGCTCGAAGCGCCAGCTCGAGGCGGCGAAGCAGGAGCTGCTGCGCGCCAAGTGGACGACGACGTTCAGCTTCAAGACGTGGCCTGTCGAGGCGTGCGGGGGCACGAGGCCGCGGATGGTGTACACGATGGACGAGAGGGAGGTCGAGAGGGTGCTGCCGACGCTCAAGGGGTGCGTCCTCTCTCTCTCTCTCTTTTCCTGCACTTTCGGCCGTCGGGCCGGGTCTCTTACTGACCCCTCGTCCGCGTTACCTTCTACAGGCCGCTCGGCTTTGGTACGCCCCTCTCACCTTCCCTCACCTCTCGCCCGACCGCCGTCAAACCTCGTCTGACACCCTCTCGCCCCCGACCGCAGACCTCGAGTGGGACCCGTACGTGCCCAAGATGGCCGGCAACGGCGGGCCGGGCAAGGCGGCGCTCGTCCAGGTCTGCGACGCCGACACGATCCTCCTCGTCCACGTCGCCAAGATGTCGCGTGAGTCCAGCCGCCTCTCCCCCTCCCGTCTTTCCTGCGCGAGATCACTAACGCTGCCCGTCGTCGCAGGCTTTCCGCCGGCACTCAAGCAGCTTGTCGAGGACCCGGAGCGCCTCAAGCTCGGCGTTCAGATTGCCGGTGGGTCTCCCTCTCTCGCCTGCTCTTCCTCGCCCCATACACACGCTCATGCTTCGCTCACGCAGGCGACGCCGCCAAGCTCAAGCGCGACTTTTCGCACAACGCCCAGGGCCTCCTCGAGCTCAACGCGTGCGTGCGGGCGTACGACCCCGAGCGGTTCGTCGGGCGCCTCAAGCCGGGCCTGATCGGCCTCCAGGAGCTCGTCGGCATGTACCTCGACGCGTACTTGCCCAAGGAGCAGGACGTGCGGTGCGCGAGGTGGTCCGGGGCGCTGTCGACCGAGCAGCTCGAGTGTGCGTCGACTAGTCCTCCCTCTCTATGGCCGGTCCCACGAGCTCGCGCTCGTGGTGTTCGGACTTGAGGCTCGACAAGAACGCGTCGACTGACGCCCCCTTTGGACCCACAGACGCCGCCAACGACGTCTACGCCTCGCTCCTGGTCCTGCGCGCCATCCAGGACTTTTCCGACCTGTCTGCCGACGCCGCGACAGCCGACCTGCACCGCCTCTCGACGACGCCGTACAACCCCTGGGCCTCGTCGACCTACCCGCGCGCCGCCGCACCGACCTCGGCGTCGTCGGCGACCCGCAGCCCACCCTCCCTCGCCCTCCCCTTCCCCAACTCGACCCTCCCCGCCGCCGCGCGCCACGCCCTCACCGACCGCAAGTTCGAGGCCCTCGCGCTCTTCCACGACGAGCGCCTCGCGCTGCGCGACATGACGGCGCGCATGAGCGCCTCGTCGGCGCCGCTCAAGCCCGTCAGCGCCGCGTGGAACGTCCTGTCGGCCGTCGCCAAGCTGCGCCAGCGCGGCGTCGAGGTCGAGTGGGACGTGCCGAGGCTCGTCGCGCTCGTCGACGAGGTGGCGGGCGGGTCGGCCAAGAAGTCGATGCTGCGCGAGCATGGCGAGCTGCTCGAGGAGCTCAGGGCAGGCGCGGCGGCGGCGGCGACGGCGGTGGCGGCTGCTTGACGGTCTCGCTGGCAGACGCGTCGTGCATGCCTCGCGGATGTAGTCTATCCTTCCCCCGTGTTGTTGCGCTTCCGCCGCTTGCATTTCACTCCCGACATTTCCCCTCTTTCGTCCGTCCAAGTCGAACTCGAGAAGGTCGCCTGCGCTTGCTCTTGGTCCTTCGCTCGGGCTCGTTGCTGGTCGCCGCTCAAGCGAATTCCCCTCGAGCTCTCTCTGCCGACCGCTCGCAGAAGTGCCGCAGCGGTCGAAGGCTGCCCGAATCTCCGCGAGCGTGCGCGGGTTTGAAATCTCGAGGAACGGCGCAGCGTGCGACCCCCCACGCCTCAAGTCCGCTCTGTTCCGGACCTTCTGCGCTGTCTTACGGCTTGTGATTCGTCGAGTGCGCGTCGACAATCGAGAAAGAGCGGCCGCAGCACTCTCGTCCGAGGTTCTTCCCCTTGCGGCGCCCGGTTGCGCCCACTCGACGAGCCAAATTTGGGCTCGCCCGGCGAGTTGTTCCGCAGACGATGCTGAGAGCTCCGCGTTAGCGCGACACAAAGGCGTGGAGGAGCGAGTGGACCCCCAACTCGTCCATGACGGACGATACGCGGCTCTCTCTACCCTCGTCCTCCCTCCTCTCGCTCTCGCGCCACGCTCCTACCGCTTTCGCCCGCACGCTCGAACGCGGTCAGCACAAGATGGGCATCATGAGCGCTTTCAGTGAGTCGTCACCGTCCTCTCAGCGGCCGCACGGGCCAGAGTGGAGGCTCGAGTGCCCTCGAGTCGTCGTCGGTGGGCTCGCCCGCACGAGCCTGGCCAGCTGCACATTCGCGCTCTGTACCTTACTCGCAAGGGACATGTAGCTGACCATATCTCCGCCGCCCACAGTCGCGAACCTTCCTCGCCCGCCTCCCAAGTCGGACCGCGAGTCGATCAACTTCTTCAAGGTCCTCGGCTCCCTCACCGCGCTCCAATGGGCCTTCTTCCTCAGCGGCTGGCTTGCATGGACCTGCGACGCGTAAGTCTCGCGCTCTCTATCTCTGTTTGGGTCAAACTCGACGGCAACTGACGCTCGTTGTGTCCTCTCAGTATCGACTTCTTCGCCGTCTCGCTGTCGAACCACCGCCTCGAGATCTTCTTCGACAAGCCGCTCAAGCAGATCACGACCTCGATCACGCTCACGCTCCTCGTGCGTCTCGGAAGATCGGCCTTCTCAAGTCGCTCCTCCTGACGGTCCACCTCCTGCAGTTCCGCCCGGCCGGCGCCGTCATCTTTGGCCTTGCCTCGGACCGCTGGGGCAGGAAGTACCCGCTCATCATCGATCTGTGCTGCTGCGGCGCCCTCTCGCTCGGCACCGCGTTCGTCAAGACGTTCCCGCAATTTCTCGCCGTCCGCTGCCTGTTCGGCATTGCCATGGGCGGTACGTCCCTCGCTACGTCGCCGCTCAGGATTCCGAGCATACGTACTGATGGTCTCTCGCACAGGTATCTGGGGATTGTCCGCCGCCCTCGCGTTGGAGAACATGCCCGTCCGCGCTCGCGGCCTCTTCTCCGGCCTCCTTCAGCAGGGTTACGCCGTCGGGTGCGTTTCGTGCTCCTACAGTGTCTTGCGTTCTCTACTGACGTGCGGCTCCCCCACAGCTACCTCATCGCGGCCGTCCTCAACCTCACCGAGGTCGCGCGCCACAACGACTTCAAGATCCTGTTCTACTTTGCCTCCGCGGTCTCCTTCTTCGCCGCTCTCGTGCGCCTCGTCCTCCCCGAGTCGGCGTACTTCCTCGAGCGTCGCGAGGCCGACAAGGCCCAGGGCACCACCGTCTCGTCGAGCACCAAGTCCAAGATCTTCCTCCGCGAGGCTGGACGCGCGCTCAAGATTCACTGGGTCCGCTGCATCTTTGCCGTTATTATTATGTCTCTATTCAACTTCTTCAGCGTGCGTACTCCTCTATTCCTGCTCTGCGGCGGACAGGGAACGGAGCAGGCGCTCGTCGTGTCTCCTCGAGGGCCGCCGAGTCTTTCCTGGCTGACTCTCTCTGTCTTTCCAGCACTCGAGTCAGGACGTGTACCCTAGCTACATCCGTGAGCTATCTGGCCCTACCTCGATGCGTCCCTACGTGTCACCGAGACTGACCCGCCCTCCCTTCCGCAGAGGACGGCAAGGGTTTGAGTGCACACACGGCTACGCTCGCGACAATCGTCGGTAACGTCGGCGCCATCGTCGGCGGCACCGTCGCGGGCTACGTCTCGCAGTTCCTCGGCCGCCGCCTCACAATTATCGTCATGTGCATCTGGACCTGCGCCTTCATCCCGCTGTGGTACCTTCCCAGCTCGTTCGCCGGCCTGGCGGCGGGTGCCTTCTTTGTTCAGTTCGGCGTGCAGGGAGCGTGGGGCGTCATCCCGGTCTACCTCGCCGAGCTCTCGCCGGTCGCTTTCCGCGCCGTGCGTCCCTCTCCCTCCTTCTTGCGCCGCTCTCCCGTCTCACGCTCGCCTCTTCTCCTGCAGGTCTGGCCCGGTGTCGCCTACCAGCTCGGAAACATGGGTGCGTCTCGACGTCTGCAGTGCCTGCCTCTGCGAGAGCTGACTCGTCGTCCCACGCAGTTTCGTCGGCGTCCGCTCAGATCGAGGCGACGGCGGGCGAGAACCTCAAGACAGCTGCAGGGCGCCCGAACTACGGTCTCATCGGCGTCATCTTGATCGTTGTGCGTCCCTACCCCTCTTCTCTGCTGCTGCGCTTGGCCCTCCCTCCCTCGTTGCTGAACTTCCTCGCACCGCCCGCAGATTGTCGCCGGCTTGATCATCGTCTGCTGCCTCGTCGGCGCCGAGGCGCACGGCTCGCACTTCGAAAAGGGCAAGGCGGCGTTCGAGGAGGGCGGCGGGCTCGACGAGATCGAGGAGCGTGCGTCTCCTTCCCCATCTCTCACCCTCGGGCTCTCGCGCCTCCTTCTCTCTCTCTCTCTCCTACGCGCATATCTGATGCGTCCTGCATCCTGCTCGCAGTCAAGGACGACACGTCGCCGAGCGCCAGGTACGGCGAGGCCGACCTCGAGAAGGACGGCCAGGCCAAGATTGGGCAGCCGATGCACCGCGAGTCGGCGAGCATGACGGACGACAAGCGCAGCGTGTCGACGTACGCCTGAGCACGGTCGTCGTGAGCGTCGAGCGTCAAAAAGATCTCGACGCGTCAACGACGGTCGGCCGACGAGCCACCATCCTTCCTCCTGTACTTGTTCCTCGCAATGTCAATCTGTCACGAGTCTCGCTCTCTCAGTCTGCAGCTGCTGTCCCTCGTGTCACATATGCGAGAGCGGAAGAGCTCGCTAGCGACCACGTCGCTTCCGACGTCGTCGAGAAGAAAAGGCCGCTCGGACCTCTGCTTTGCCGAGATCTCTCCCCTGAGCCTCGTTCTCTCGCTCTCGCCCCTCGACCGCCGCAGCGAGTGCTGAAAGAGCGTCTGCGTCCTGAGCGCCGCCGCTTCAGGGCGAGCACAGCAAGCCGAGGCCGCCCCGATGCCGCCGACGCCTCGAGCGTTTGGAGGGAGAGGACGCTCGGCTCGCAATGGGCGCTCTCGCGCAGAAAGCTCGTCGGGCAAGGACACTGAAGAAAGTTGCGTAGGCTAGACAAGGCACAAAAGTACGAAAGAAAGCGCGCCGAGAGAACCGAGCGAGCGAGAAACGTCTCGTCTCGCCCTCCTTTCTTCTCCCTGACCCACCGACGGCCGCGGCCCTCCTCTCACGGCCCTCGCACGAGCCTCACATGTACCAGCCGTAGCCGCCGTTCCAGTCGTCGTCGTAGCCGAAACGCCATCCGCCGTCGCGGCCACGACGCGGGCCCTGGTGGTCTGTGTGAGGCGAGGGAGCTTCAGGTCTCCGCGAGAGCGACGCAGGACGGACAGGAGGTGGACGCACAGCTGCTCGTGTCGCGCTTGTTCGAGATGCCCGTCATGGCGGCGTAGTTCTCGTAGCCCTCGGCCGTGTAGCTCGGGCCGGCGTGCGCGTTGCCGCCCTGGGTCGCGCTCGACGAGTCGGTCCACTTCTGGCGGCAGAGTGGGCACGTGCTGCGGTCGATCGGTCGGCGAGGGAGGGTCAGCTCGGATCGACAGCTGCAGAGTGGACCGAGAGAGAGGGAGAGCGGGACGCACGTGGGGTTTGACGTCTTGGCCCAGTTCATGAAGCACTCGCGGTGCAGGGCGTTGCCGCAGCCCGACTCGCCGAGGCAGAAGACAAGGCCCTCCTCGGACCCGGGCGTGTAGTCCTCGTCTGCAGGAGGGCGCTCCGTGAGCGACCGAGAACAGGTAAAAAGAGGGGGGAGAGGGAGGAGGGGCGCGAGGACGTACAGCAAATCGGGCAGCTGTCGCCCTCGTCCGGGACGCGCTTCTTGACGCCGAGCGAGCTCGACTCGGCCTCGAGGTCCTCGGGCTTGAGCGCGCCCGTCGCGACCTGGTACCGCCGCACGACGCCCTCCTCGAACGCGGTCCTCGGTGCCGTGCGCGCGTTGGCAAAGATGGCGGCGAGCTCTGACGAGAGGAGCGCCGACTGGTACCACAAGTTGGACGACTGCGGGACCTGGAGGACCTTGAGGAAGACGAACAGGCGGTGCTTGCACGTGTTGCCCTTGGCGCCGTCGGGGCAGTCGCACGACGGGACCTTGTCGATCTGCGGTACGAGGCGGCCGGGTCAGCTCGTGCTGCCTCGGAGAGCGGCTGAAGAGGCTGACGGACCTGGACGGTGTAAGCGTTCCCGGTTGTACCGAGTACCTTGAACTGCTCGCTCGTCTCGCCCTGTTTCTCCCTCGCGACGCAGAAAAACCGTTGGGCAAACACGCGATCGGCACGCTCACGAGTGGCCTGCGGGCAAGCTGGTGGACGTGAACGAGGGCGAGGTGATGAGGTGGGCCGGGTCGAGGTGGGGGCAGAGGGGAGGAGGAGAGGGAGGGCAAGGAGGTCAGCGATGCCGCTCTGCGATGGCTGGACTTGGAGAGAGCAGTCGGCGCACCTCTCTTGAACTGCTTGAGGCGCTTCTCGGGCGGGAGCTGGTCCTCGTACCCCGGGTCGCTCTTCTTGAGCCGCTTGGTCGCGCTCGCAGGGCCGGCGACCGGGTACACGCGCTCGGCCGGGGCGGCGGTGGGTGCAGGCGAGGCTGAAGCACGCCTCTTGGTCGTCATCTGAGAGTGCGGAGCGAGGGTGACGAGCGAGGGGCGGTGCTTGCTCTCGAGGAGCGAGAGGCTGGTCGACGCGCCCGCATCCACCTCGAGCTGGGTGTCGCACTGAACCGCACTGTACTTGACTCGCTCGGCCCGCTGCAGAGCACCCCTGCAGAGCACAGCGTCCACCGCTGCCTACTACGAGAGCTCGTCTCTCCCTCAGCTCTCCCCCACGAGCTGCTCTCGGCGACGAGCACCCCGAGAGTGTGCTCGGAATGACGGGGCCAAGGACAGCTCGCGCAGTGCTGCGCCACGCACAATTGCGGCCTCGACCTCAGTTGTGCCGACGGCAGCAGAGGCACCTGCCCGCTTGAGGGTAGATCGCGCTGAGCGCTCGGCCCTCTCGCGCGCACCTCGTCCCGCTGTCAACCATGGGCAGCGTCTTCTCGCGTACGAAGCTCTGCTCGGTACCGCGAGCTCGAACGGGGCCAGCCGCTCGGAAGGAAGCGGAGCGGGGCAAAGCAGTGAACGTCGCGAGCGGCTCGTGCAGGGACGCCGCCTTGGCCGAGTGCAGAGAGCGTTTCGAGAGGTGCCTTGGCTAGAGCAGCAGCGTTTCTCGAGGCGAGCAACCGCGACCCAAGCGCCGGTCAAAGGGGCGGCGGCGGAGGGAAAAAGGCACAGACAGGGTCGAAGTGAGCCGCGGCGCCCCTCGTTCGTGGCCCCCCTCCTCCTCCTCCTCCCCCTCCCCCTGCACGCTCGCGCACTCCAGCGCTCGACACGCCTGCGGACCTCGACAGACACCTCGCCTCACCCGCACACCCGCACGCGAGCCGCTCGCCCGCTGCGCCCACGGTCCACTCAGCCCTCCCGAGCCCTCCGCACCCCCAGACTCGTCGCCCCTCCACTTCCCCCTCCCACACTTCTCTCTCCGCCTCCGCCCGCCCGCGCCAAATGTCGTCGTCGACGACGACTGCCGACGGCAAGAAGAAGAAGGAGGGCAAGGTCGCGACCTGTCGCTACTGCGGTCCGCCTCCTCCCTCTCCCCCTCTCCCCATCCCCGAGGGCGCGCGGGCCAATTGGCCCGCAGCTCGCTCCGCCGCGCTCGAGGCGGCGCGCCACGGCCCGACCAGCTCGACTGACGCCCGCCTCGCCTCCTCGCAGACATGACCTTTCGCAAGCTCGAGCACGCACAGCGCCACGAGCGCACCCGTGCGTCCCCCTTCGTCCTCGGCAGCGACGGCCGGCTCCCCCTTGCCGAGCGGGAACTGACGCCGGCGCATTTGTCCCTCGTCGCCCGCAGACACCCTCGACCGCCCGTACTCGTGCGACACTTGCGGCAAGACGTTCGCTCGGCAGTGCGTCCCCGGTTGACGAGCCTCGACCGAGGCGCCGTCGCTGACCTCGCCTTTCCCCTCCTTCCTCCGTCCCTCCTTCCCTCTCTCCCGCCCGCGCAGAGACACGCTCCACCGCCACTCGCGCCTGCACAACCGCGAGGACGAGGACGGGCCGGCGGGCAAGGCGCCGCGCAAGCGCCGCGTCTCGAACGCGTCGGCGACCAAGCCCGCCGTCGTCAAGCCCGAGGGCGAGAACGAGTCGTCGCCCGACGCCGTCGGCTCGTCGGGCTCGTCGTCGTCGCCGTCGCAGCCGTCGATCGCGGTCGACCTCATGGTGCCGCAAGCGTCGACCTCGGCGTCGACGGCCGCGCTGTTCCCGGGCATGGGCCTCTCGATGAGCCTCCCGGTGGCCCCGCCGTCGTTTCCCGCCTACTCGCAGCCCGAGCACGCCGACCACCACCATGCCTTTCCATCCATCGACCCTTCTTTCATCCCTTTGTCTCGTCGCTTCAGCGACGCTGGCTACCCCACGACTCTCGCCGCCGCGTCCCTCGGAACGAGCGCTCCTGCCACCTCCTCCTCCCCCTTCGCCGGAGCCGCAGCGCATGGCCTCGCCGTCCGCCCCGACCGACCCGCCCTTCGTCCGCGCGCCATGACGCTCGCCGGCCTCCCCGAGTCGCTCGGGTGCTTCTCGTTGATCAACTCGCCGGCCTCGTCGCACGCGAGCCTCGGCGACGGCGACGACGACGACGACTCGTCCATGAGCAGCGGCGACGACGACGACGACGACCTCGCCGGCGACAGCGACATCAAGGTCAAGAGCAGCTCGCCGAGCAGCGACGGCGAGTCGGGCGCGCCAGGCGGTACCGGCGCCGACGGCTGCAGCCCGACGTGGGCGACGTCGTTCCCGGCGCCCGAGAGCCACTACCCGTCGCCCGCCTTCTCGGCCTACTCGCCGACCCAGCTCCACCGCGACCCGCTCGAGGACCTCCAGTCGATCCTCGAGAACGACCCGGTCGGCCCGTCGTCCCGGTTCCACGCGCCGTCGTCGCCGCCGCCGACCGCCGAGCCCGAGTTCGACTACGCGTCGTTCGCCGCGTCGATCGAGGGCCCGGCCAAGCCCGCCAAAAGGGCGCCCGCCGTGCCCGTCACGCTCGACGAGCTCCTCGGCACGTCGACGGTCGCCGCCGCCGACAAGGTCAGCGTCGCGCACGGCGACGTCCACCGTTACCCGACGCCGCCGTCGGGCTCGCTCAGCGGCGACGCCTCACTCCCCGTGTCGTCGGCGGCCGCCCCGTCCGAGCCGGCGCCGGCCCTCTCGGCCGCCGAGGCCTCGGCGTCGTTCAACCTCGCCGCGCACCTCAACCACATCATGACGGCCGAGTCGGAGCAGCTCGCGCGTGCCGACCGCGCAGCGACGCTCGCCATGTTCGCCAACGGGTTCGGCGTCACGTCGAGCGGCGCAGGGTCGCAGGCCGGCCCGGCGCGCTTCTCGCCCGCCGGCGGCGCGGCGTCGTCGCTGTCGGCGCTCGGCCTCGCGTTCGGTCCGCCGCCGGCGCAGATCCAGGCGCACGCACGTGGGCAGCGCGGCGACACGACGTCGGCGTCGCCCCCTCTGCCGTCGCCATCGTCGACCTTTTCTTCCTCGGCGTACGCCCTCTCGGCCACCTTTGCGACGACCTACCCATCCCTCTCCCTCCCTGTCGCTGGCTTCGACCGCCTCACGAGCTCGGCGCTCAAGTACGACACGCCGCCCATGCCCGAGCTCGTCCTCGCGCTCCCGCCGCCCTCGTCCTCGTCGCCCTCGGCCGCCGTCGACGGCACCCCGGCCCCGGCCAAGTCGGCCGGCTCCGCTCCACTCGCGCCCAGCCCCGAGTCGTGCATCGACCTGCTCGCGCGTGCGTGGGAAAAGCGCAGCCACCGCCAGCCGGCCCTCGGGTTCGGCATGCCCTGTGCGCCGGCGCCTAGCGCGGCTTGGCAGGCCCAGACGCCGTTCGCGCACCCGGCCAAAAGCGTGCCGGCGTTCTACATCCCGACGAGCCCGCCTTCGCCCGGCGCACAGCACGGTGCGCGAGGAGCGTGGTAGGCGGCCGGCCCCTCACCAGGTCGTGCGCGCCTGCTCCGATTTCTCCTTCTTCTCCCCTCGCTTCTCCTCCCCTCCCTTCTTTGTCAGTTTCTCCCCAACACCAGCGCCCTACTACCTGTCTGGATCCTAGTCTCTCCCCCTCCCTCATCATGTCTGTCTTCTGTGCCGGCAATTCCCCGTGTTGCCTCTCCTTCCCTCGGACGTTCCTCTTGTCTACTGTCCCCCTTTTGCTTTCTGCAATCCAACCTTGTCCAAGTCTCCTTACCCGTCTAGAGCTGGAAGTGGGAGAACTGCCTTTCCGAACGCGAGCAGCTCGCGTGAACCTTGAGCGGGCAGCAGGATGCTGCTCTCTCAGCTGTTTTTTTTGGACAGAGGTTGAGAGAGGAGGGAGGAAGAGAGGCATAGAGAGATAACCAGGGAAAGAGGAAAGGGAGAGGGAGACAAAAGACAGACAGAGAGAGGGAAAGTGAGGTGCTTGTTCCCTGCGGAACCTGGTCGCTGTCAAAGGCCGGGTCAGGTGGGACTTTGGCCTCGCCATGCCTCGAGGCTATGCTCTCAGGAAATCGCACATCGAGATCTGTCTGTGGGCAACTGGACAGCCCTGGCAGAACCAGTCTGACCTCGGGCTACCTTCCCAGCCGACCTGCGGGAGGTACTTCTCAGGCCTCGGGTACTTGTCGTGGCCCCCTTTCCTCGGGGCTAAGCTCTCGGGAAATTGCACATCGAGATCTGTGTGTGCAACCCGTGTGCGCACACAGCTCCTCAGGGAACAGGGCTACGGACCTACTGCTTGGCACAGGGACCATATAATAGTATACCGTGATGGTACTGGAGCCAGCTTTGGGCCAGTGCATTGGTAGCATCCTCAGGTAGACCAAGCCTCTTGGCCCCACTCGGACCCGACCCGTCTGCGCGCACAGCTCCATGAGGAACAGGGCTACTGACCTACCGCTTGGCACAGGGACCATATAATAGTCTACCGTGATGGTAATGGAGCCAGATTTGGGCCAGTGCATTGGTAGCATCCTCAGGTAGACCAAGCCTCTTGGCCCCACTCGGACCCAACCCGTCTGCGCGCACAGCTCCATGAGGAACAGGGCTACTGACCCCTACCGCTTGGCACAAGGACCATATCATAGTATACCGTGACGGTACTGGAGCCAGCTTTGGGCCAGTGCATTGGTAGCATCCTCAGGTAGACCAAGCCTCTTGGCCCCACTCGGACCCGACCCGTCTGCGCGCACAGCTCCATGAGGAACAGGGCTACTGACCTACCGCTTGGCACAAGGACCATATAATAGTATACCGTGACGGTACTGGAGCCAGCTTTGGGCCAGTGCATTGGTAATATCCTCAGGTAGACCAAGCCTCTTGGCCCCACTCGGACCCAACTTGTCTGCGCGCACAGCTCCATGCGGAACAGGGCTACTGACCTACCGCTTGGCGCAGGGACCATATAATAGTATACCGTGATGGTAATGGAGCCAGATTTGGGCCAGTGCATTGGTAGCATCCTCAGGTAGACCAAGCCTCTTGGCCCCACTCGGACCCAACCCGTCTGCACGCACAGCTCCATGAGGAACAGGGCTACTGACCTACCG